GACTCCATACTCGAAGTTGTGGAAACAGCTTTAAGCTACCACAATCAGCTGTACACTCAAGCTGTGTTAAGCGATTACACAGAGGTATCGATACTCGGCCAACTACAAGAGAAAGTGTCTCCGTCCAGCAACTTAGAGGCCTACAGTTGTTCGTTGCTACTGTAATGAATGGACAAAGTCCCCGAGTGCGTTCACGCCTTTATCTGAAAAACAGACATTTTTCTCCAGCAGTTATCGACAGAAAACACGTACCTGCTGTTTATTTCCTCACGCCGCCCAATTTTAAGTTACTACCAGCAGTAAATGCAGCCTGTAGATTCGGTCACATCGTCGACAGACAGTAGCGGGAAACAAAGCAGGATGTGAGAAATAGTCGCTCAGCCACGAAACCTTTCGCTCTACAGCGGAGTGTCGTCCAACCGAATTCCCAATGCAAAGGCACAAATGTCATATTGTCTTCGATGGCAGGAGCATGTTAGTAGCTTTAACTGAAATAGTCTGCGAACCATCTTTAATCTATGAACCAGGGGGTGTGCTTTTTTCATCCAAATGATCTGACGGAAGTACTGTGGGAATTCACATTTGCAGCTATTCCCTGAAAATGTTTCCACACTTTCAGCAGCCGCGGCTACACCGCATTATTAGGCTGTCATCAGTGTGACAGTTTTACTCTTGATATATATCCGCATAAAACATTTCTCCTGGGTTTTCTGTCTATTAACTATTTGCTTGAACTGTTTGGAGGCGATTGCGATGTTTGGGTTTATTTTCCCCGAAGCGTTCTGAACGCAACCATGTAAGTCACGTGACTGACATCAGCTGATCAGTAGTGCTGATGGCGGAACTAACTGAAAACATGGTGGTTTTACTGAGTGCATTAGCTATCAAGGACTGCCGAAAAGTAAGTCGTGAAATGTGATTTAGTTTTCTAAATGTCCACCAGAGCCACGGGCGATTGTACCTCGGTAAATACTAAGATATGTTTTAGATTTCTCCATGAGAGCTCCGATATTTCAGCCCATCCATTGCCCACATATTGCTTCTGAATGTTCTCGCTACATGTGTTATCTGAATGAGCATCTATACCTCTAGCACCATACTAATAATGGGGTGGCTGCAGTTTAGGAATTAGAGGCAGGTGTCGTGACAAGGTAGGTATCCCCGACAGAATGGGGAGCACGCGCCGGGCTGTCCAAATGTGGGGCAAACAGTGTCCCTCACTCTTGATTTTCTGTTCACAAACACTTCTTATAATGACTGACTACTCCTGAAATTTTGAAGGTTTTAGCTCTTTATACAGTAAAGTTACAGGAGGAAGCAAACAATTATCAGCTGAAATATGTTTTCCGATAACACGTGAACACAATAAATGTGTTATTTTCAGTTGTAACCCACAAACGTAACGGTACCGCAGCGACACTCATCTTTCACTGTTTCACTAACGTAAAACTTCCAATGGAGGCGAAGTCAACTGCATCCGCGCTCCCGACGCCGGGGAAGCGACCTACCTTGGCACGACATCTGTCATATACTGATCAAAGGGTTGGTCGTAGGAAAAAATGTGTTTGTGTGAAGAGCGCTTTGAGTAGTGATGGGTCAGATGATACCGAAGCGTTGGTGCGTGTATCAAGCACAAAGGGTGAAAGCCCGTGGGTGGATTGCTGGAGGAAAAGTCACATGACTGATGTAGCTGGTGATAAGGTGTCAAATTATATTTATGGGGAAGTGCAACTTTCGACTCATTTGCATCCGAGCTGAGAGGAACAGAGGAGGCTCTTTGGTGCTGTTAATGTTTTTGGCTCGTCATCACCAGAGGTGACAAAAGTACAAACTTTCTTTACTTCAGCAGAAGTGCAGATGCCTGGGTGAAAAACACTCAGTAACACCCAAAGTACTTGAACAACGTTTTTACTTTAAAGTAAAAGTGAAAAAGTGCAGGCTCAAAGTAAGAAAGTACAAAGTAATATTTTTATTATTACATGAGGGTTGTTATATAAGGGTTGGCAATACAGCCACAAAATCATATCGCAATATTTCAAAGAAATTTGCAATAATGATGATATGTCTGAATATAA